TGAAAGAAAAGCAAGTTTACTTGTCACTCAGTCTGAACAGGAGAGACACCAGAATCAAGCTGGCTTGGATCTATCCTCAGCACTGCAGAATCTGAGGAAGGCAGCATGGGCTTGAGTCGAACTGGCACTTGTGTCTTTACTTCACTAGGCAAAATAAAAGCTGGCCGAATTGACTATATGGAAAACCATTCCAGGATGTAGAACTTCTTGAGACTCTTCTTTCAGAAAGAGATGTTTTGTTCACAAAACAAGCCTGTAAATGGGGTATTCCCATTGATTAACCTCATGCATCTAACAGAGCTGCCTCAACTGGGAGGGCCAGAATTTGACTCTATACTCGAAGACAAATGAGCTCAATGAAGACTGAAACAGAACAAGATTCAAAGCAGGAATTTAGCTTATGTGCTCTGAATCACACTTTCAAAAAAGCTGTCATCTTTCTCCCATGACTGAGCTGTAAACTTATTTTTCTTTCAACAATCTACAGGAGTTCCAGTGAGGCAACAGGCAAACTGTCTTCTCTAAAAAGTTTTGTCCATTTTATGCTGAAAAAACATAGCCATGTTTTTACTCTGTCCTTTTGGCAGACAAACAAGAACACTGTCCTTGGGTTTAAAAGGTGCATAAAAGGACTTTGAAAGGCAAGTTGTCTCATAAAGCATCCCGTGCAAAAATGATATGAAGAGCACACTCAAACTAGTTTCAATATCATATCACAAACAGCATCAGAAAAGGAAGTTGGTCTACGTAGCTTCAGGGTTTGGTTTGAATGAAAATCTTCCAATCACGATTTTTCTAGCATCTGTGCATGAGGTTTTATGAGAGAGCTTTTAACAATAGCACTACTACTGTTATCTACAGAAGTCAAAAAGAAAGTAAATGTTTCTAATTTTTATTTCCACAGTTTGGTGCAATCAAAATGAGACTATTTAAGCAGCTAGTATCTGAATTGCAAATTTCTAAGAGTTTCAACACAGTCCTTCATTAGAAACGAAATAGGATAACAGCTTGCATTAGCTGATGCAGTAGCTACTAAATAAGGTAGCTTTGTGCTTCTGTCTTTCCCCTCCACACACTCTGTTGTACCATCCACATTTTTTTCTCCTCTTCTGCTGAAAAGGAGCTGTGAGCCTCTGCAAGCGGGCAGATAAAGAGCAAGAAAACTTAAAAGAGTTTAAGAGCCAACAGATCTGCAGTTAACGCCCTTGGTGACTAAAGTTTTGGTGCAGCTCCACATCACTCCCATGCTGGCCACGGCTGACAGGAGGGTTCCAGGAATGTGAACATCTACAGAATCCATAAAAACAAGGCTCACTGTGGGTCAGCAGCTCCCCACCTATTCCTCTTTTTTTTTTGGGGGGGGGGGGGGGAATAATTACTTTTAGCCGAAGCCATTTATTGGGAATACGATAAAACCTACAAAATGCAGCCTACGCTATTCGGTCTGTTTACAGGAGCTACTTTATTCCACTCAGTTGTTTCCACTGCTTCGGCCCATTGGAAAGAGTCATTTCCCTCTTTATTCCCAAACACTGATGCTTATATTAATGCAGTCCAGCAACTCACGGCTTAAAACAGACAACAATTAAAAAAAAAAAATCTCCACAAAGATGTAAGATTAAAGCTTACAACTTCTGTTCCACATTGAAAATCACAGGCTTTCTAACCACTTTTGTCAATCTGTTTCTATACATATGGCATCCTTGGCATTCAGCTGCAATGACCTGTAACTGTGAAAGGCACCATTGTTTGCTTGTTAGTAATTCATCATTAAAATCTTCAGTTAGTTTTTACCACACTTTTTTCTTAGAAACAACAGAATATTAATAATAATAATGAAACAAACCCCTCAGAGGAGTGTTTCCTGAATGCTGTGTGTGACTGTGGGTATAACAAGCGTCAGCTCACCTCGAGGCCACAAGAAGTTAAGGGTCCTCACAAAAAACCTGACTGAAAAACTTCATCTTTGGGTAAGAAGATCTTCAGAGGGAGAAATTAAAACCTCCCAATGGGGGAATTTTAAGCAAATTAGGATAGACAGAATTAGGCAATTGTTTCTACAAGTATAGTGTGAAATAATCCCTTTATGCTAAATCTGTACCTACCACAGTACATTTCTTATGTGCAATTCTGAAGATCTATATCAGGTATATTTTTCAAAGTTTAAAACCAAATACCAGCAGTGTTCAAGGCATGCCAAGTGCACCCAGAACTGTGCACGTCCCTGTTTCATCCCTTCCGCCGGCTGGCACTGTCCCCGCACTGCCTGCTGAGGACAGCCTTCCACCTGGGTCTGGCAAAACCTCCCAAGGGAGGAAGGTGTCAGGGAGCTACAGGCCTCACCGTGGGGGAGCTGTCAGCAAATTAGGAGACCGCAGTCATCAGCACCGTTTCTCTCTTGCTCTTTTCTGCTGTCAGCAGCCCTGGCCTGGCCTGGCCCACCTGCGCCGCCTCACCTGCCTTTGCCTCGTCCCGCATGTTTTACCTCACCTCATTCTTTCCCGCCAACGGGAGGTCACCAGAGTGCTTTATTGTTGTGACAGCAGCTCCCCTGCACTGTCAGAAGGACATCTTCAAAACATCATAAGACTCTTCTGGATGCAAAGACCATGGCGAAGTCAGCAGGATCTCCAGACCAAGCCTACAGCACCCAGGCAGGAGGCAGTACAGGTGCGTCCCATCACACCACCAGCAGAAGTTATCCACTGCTGGGGGGCAGCTGCTCTACCCAGAGGGACAGAGAACATAGCACAAAGCAGGAAAACTCCACCCTTCATTGCTTCGCTTGGTTGGTATCTTCCATCCTTTAAAACAACTGATCCCATCCATGCTCTTTAAGATAGGGAAGAGGTGGAGTGATAAATCCCAGGAACATCTGAGGGGAGGCAGAGAAACAAAGCTGGGCAGTGGTAGCAAGAAGCACAGAGCCAAGGAGGAGGGAATAAGCTTAATGTTCAGCAAGAGGATGGCAAACAGGAGATATGGTGATTTTGGATCAGATGAGATGGACAGCACTGTGAAGAGGGATGTAAAGAGCAAAGGGATGAGTCCAAATGCAGGTCTACAGCAAACAACTGGGAAGGAAACTGGTGCAAGAAATTGGCAAGGAAGAAAGCGAGCCAAAGCCAGAAGGGGTCAACAGAAGAAATACTTGTGACTTTTGGAAATCATTACCCTCCATACCCTATACGGTTCCAGATACTTTGCTGCCACCAAATACCTATCCAAAAATGCACGGTGTTTCTTCTTCCACTAGGCAAGTCTACAGAGAGGATGAGACCTCCTGCATTTCCTACAGCTGAAATTTCTGTAATGGAATTACATGTTTCAATTCTTTTGCTGAATTATGATGCCAAAGACTCTGATTTCTGCTTTTATCTCAACTTGCTTTTCAAAAGCTCTTTAAATCACACAAAAAGAACAATATTAATGCAAAAAAATTCCCAGCATCCCTGCAAAACACACTTTATTCTTGTCAAAGACTCAAAATTCTAGTAAACCAGGTTTCTTGTGTGACCATAATTCTGCATTCTAATACCAGGTTAATGTTCACACTGGATATGCCACATTTACACCTGAGATTGAGGGTGGACAAAACAGACCAGCTAAGACAGAATCAGAAGCCACACAAGAATTTTTGCAGAACTGATATCAGAAAGTCATACCAACTTGCAAAACTCTCCACATTTTCATCAGAACTCATTTTCATGATGGAAACAATAACAGAAGATATTAGTTCAATTTGATGGCTTCATATCCACACAATTTTGAACATTTTGAATGTTTATACAAATAGCATCACATTCCTTCTTTTCCCTTCTTGTAGATTTACAGTAAAGCAGAATTAATAAAGCAGGTGGCAGTCTTGGTAACAGAAGACTTCTGTTTTCATAACTGACTTTCAAAATGGTAAACTGAAAATCACCCTCTTATCTTTTCCTGTTACTGTATATTGAACAGATAGAAATATGCAACCACACAGAAACATTTATTCTCCCAAAATTAGCATTATTACTTTATTTGGTGATTCATTACAATCTGCAAATCCAATAGTCAAAAAAATAAACTAGGCATAATGTTAAAGCATTTTACAAGCAAAATACTTTACTGCTTCCTTTTCAATTTGCATAGGGTGGGATAAGTGTATTGGTTAAAGGATATAACGTACAAAAGAACAAATCCATAGTTCATCAAACTGTACTCAAGAGTGTTACGATCCTGTGAGTGAACAGTACTTAAACAGCTATGACCATCAATGGAAAACCATACACTTCAACATTAACAAGGCTGCCTTCCCATGACCATGATGCATCATGAAGGCTGCAAGCCACTGGGCTGCTTCTCTTACGTTGTAGATCATCCTACTTTAAAGAAATTAAAGAATTAAACAAGCCAGAATGCAGCTACCTATGCTCATTTCTTTTCTACCTGAACAAAGGCCAGTATGGAGAGAGGGAATTTTTAAAGTCAGCTTCTGAAACCACTTACAGTAACATCTGTCTCTCATATTTTCAGTGTCATGGAGCTAGCAAGCTTAGACCTTCATCCACACATCTCTGTTTATTATTACTGCGCAGCCAGGTAAAAAAACCTGTATTTTTTCACTGTGTAGCAACAAACTGCAAATAGATCATGCTCCTTTCCCTTTGTAACCACATCTCTGTGCCTCCTACTGTACAAATCTGGCTTTAAAGTCTCACAAAACTAAAAAATAGTTGATCTAGGTTGTAATAAAAAAAGAATATTAAATACCTTTGGTAAAAATAGATATATTTAACAAGTTTAGAAAAGCAAATAGTTATATTGTCAAAAGGAGAGTATAAAAATGTACACGATAAAAAATAACAAAGAAACAAAAAATCATCAGCCATAGTAGTAAGAATAAAGGCGCTGTTCTTTTCAATGTTTGCTTCCTTAGCTCACGTTATTGTCCAGTCTTCTTTCTAAAAGGCAGGAGCTCTACTAGAGCATATGGAAAAATCCAGTCCTTCCTACCAGCATTAGACAAATTAAATTTAATTCGGAACAAGACAGTCTGTTTTACCCCAAGTTTATACAACAGAGAACACTTCGATTTAGTGTACATAGGAGTAGTTGAACACAGAAAGAAAGATTTCAGGTGTTTTCAACCAGAGGCCAGATGTACTGGAGCTGTAGAAATGAGACAGCCAGCAGGATCAAGTCTCCATGATGTGAGCCTTCTAACTTTATTTTTACTCCTAAATTATAAATCCATGTATTGTCAAGAAAATTGTGGGGGACAAAAACAATACATATATTTTAAATCCCTCATTGATGCCTTTCTCCCATTCTTTCACTGGGCCTCCAAACAGAGCTGTCACACAACATATAATCCCAGTTTAGCTTCTCCTCTTTTTAGAGCTCACTGTAAATCTTGAAGATGGAAGATCCCCAAAGCAAACAACTGAGATTACAGAAGGAGATAATGCACAAGCCCCATAACAGAATCAGCCATTGATTGAATGTGCTTTGAAAGGAAACAGCACAATTAAATCATGTTTATCCTTCAGTATTTCCTTTGCACACACAGTCACACTCCTCGTGGTGTTCCAAGGGTACATCTGTCAATGATTTATGCAATCCTCGGACGCCAATCCTTGGCTTCAGCTGAAGAACCTGAAGGAGAAGCAGCCAAGCATCAAGAAAACAGCAAGTGCTTTATCACACACCTGGACTATGAGCTAGATTGCACTGGATGACAGGAAGCATATGAAAAGAAATAGGTGCTCCTCAGCTTGATTTCTTCATCTATTCCATCCACTAATTCTTATTTTTGCTTTTACCTCAAGCCCTTTAAAAAAATCAATTAAAACATGTTGAACAGATACTTGCTTTTATCAAAGAAGAGAGTCTTGCAGTTTCATATTCCTACTTAATTTTATTTAAGGGCTAATAGTATAGTTCACCCAATGAAATTATTAGATAATTCTATAATAAATAATTTTAGCTATAGATTTGTAACAATGGAAATGGATGGATAACTGTTCCTTCATAAAGTTCACATCTACCACTAGAGAAAGCTCAACCAGAAGGCTGAAGATGTGTGTGAACTGCACCAGTAAACAAATGCCTCAGGAATGACTTAATAGTTCCACAGAAAAGTATTTTAACAAGGAAGATATTACTTTTTTTTATGTAACACCTCATTAAAATGGTAAAAAAATATTTACTACAAGTGCAATACATAAAATTTCAAAATATTAATATTGGTGCATTCATATAGTAAAAATAAATTCCTTAATTGGCTGTCAGTATTTCCAAACATGCAAATATAAAAAAGCGCATACCTCATGGTATTTTTTGGTGACTTTTGTTGGTACACATTGGCACTCATTGCAACTCTGATGACAACAGGCACAGTTTCCACCACAACGTTTAACCAGAAGACACAACGGCCAGAAGATGGTGTCAGTTCGCTTCAGCTCCTCCCTTAGCGACACTGAGAAGTTGCGAGGGGTACAACTATACAGCCGCACCTCCTCCTTTAGGAGGTTGAGATCCACCACTGCAAAAAGACAAACAAACTGGTGCTTTTCCGATTCTTTATCCAACTTCACTGGTGGTAAACCAACTTCAGCAGTGCAGAACCCTTGAGGAAAGTTCATTTGTGTGCAGGTGGTACAGGTTCAGCACACAAGTGTAATACTACAGTTATAGGAATACCATGAAACCTAAATGGAATGACCGTTGTATAAGAATTTTCACCAATTATTTTATAACTCTGGCAGAGCTGGTTCAAATTAAACAAAGCAAGCTTTGGCTACTGTGTTCCAATAAATGTTTTATCAGACAAGCCTAATGAAGTTCCCTTTGTTCACACTCACACTCTGAGCTCTAGTGTTGCTATTCTATATTCATTTTGGATTGGAGAAAAACACACAGCAATTAAGAACCCTGCAAACCTCCAAACACATTTTTAATCCATTTGCATAAAGCTTTCAAACTTCTTTCCTGCTAAAATTTCAATTGTTGCTTCTTTGCAAGGGCAACATAAGTATAAGAAAGAATCAAGCCATTTATATCTAAGAGGAACTCACTTCTCTGGACTAAGAACTTCAAGAAGTTGTGTCATCATCAGTGAATGCTGTACAGACAACAAATAATTGAGCAAGTATGTGTATCTATATAACTATTACTAGACTCCATTTTTCCCTCCACCTTCATAGCAGCATATATAGGTATTTCTGTTGCTTCTCTAGATTTCATTTTCACTTGATGTGTTTTAAATAAAATACAGCTCCTCCTTGTAAGCACCTAAGTTGAAATGCAAGTTAAAGATATTAATATTTGGCTCCAGTTTCCTTATAAACTAGTTCCACTGTATCATACTAAAGTTTCCCTATGCCAATGGTTGAACAGCAAGCTCATGAAAAGATCTGAAACAGGGCAAACTCCTTTAGGTTCTCCTTAGCTGCACAGACAAGAAATAACAGGCCTTGAAAGAGGTAGTTAAGATTGAAAAAAATGGGATTGGTTCAGTGAGAAAATGAATACAACTTACTTTGATGAAACGCAATGTAATTTCATTTATTTCAGAAAAGCCAGACTATAATGATCACGATCTGGGATCTTTTGTCTGAACTGTTTCTCTCTCAACCTACCACCATTAAGGAAGAGAAGTAACGTCTAATTCACAGGGGCACTCTATCTTGTAAAAAGAAAAACAGAGAAAGAAAACCCTATGATAATATGGCTACTGAGATGACTCAAACAGAGGTCTCGAACAAAGCAGCAAAGAGCTTTAAACCAACTGGTTTCGAGCTAAATCAAGAAGAAACTAGGCAAAAATATATCCCAGTGCATTGATATTACTTGACAAATACTTTACAGTTATTGATAGCAGTTTGTAAATAAAAAGATATAAAATAAAGCAAAAATATGTTCCTGATTTGAATCATCCTTTAGAGAAATACCTTTTTTCCCTCTTCTACTATGTAAAGAGCCTCTAGAGGTCACAAAGGAGAACTTCAGCCTATCAAGGCAAGATAATGCCTCTCAATTCTATTTAAACATGCAAGAAATAAAGAAAATTTAGAAGCTGCATTTCTCTAGTAGAAATGCTCACTAGTACTGTCCCAGGAGCAGATCTTTGGGCAGCAATTTCATTCCATGTTTCTTCAAACATTTCTTTTGCAGACCATATGACCATATCCATATACTGGCATCCATAAGTAAGGGTTTATTGTTGTGAAAGGTCAGTTAAACACACTGAAGCCTTTTCTCCGCTCGCACTTACAGTGAATGCCAAGCTGGGGCACTTCATTCCATCACTATCAGCTTAACATAGGCTCCTAAATAAACAATCTGATTTTTAAAAGCGAGGAGTGTGTAATAACTCCAATAAAGTTACTGATAGGACGCCAGCCTGCCTCCCACACTGCAAGAGCATTCCTTGGAGAAAGCTGAGAAGGGAGCAGAGGAAAAGAGAGACAAAACTTCCGGGGGAGAGATTCACTGTGAGAACTTAGAAATGATTTAAGCTCTTCTGATCAGCTAATAGCTCTAGGCTGAGTCATTTAGAGAGAGGACATGTCTACCTCCATTAATCAAGGACTGTGGATAGGAATGGAGTACTTCTTTCTCCTGTTGTGTTTGAAAACATACAGTAAGTGAACTGTTTGAATGAGGATAAAATACCTAAAGCACAACAACAGAAATGCTAGTTCTGCTAATACTTTCTACTGGTAGATTTCTACAGAGACTGACATGCTTGGTACAGGGAATTTCAAGAAGCTAAGCTCATGCGTCCTAACACAATTGCTGCTCAGCCCTTCACCATGAGAAACTGTAAACGGAAGCTGGGCACTGATGCCTCTTCCAGCAAGCCCACCGACCAGTGGGAGAGAGATGCCTTTGTGGCATTGTGCTTCTCCATTACCTCCTGCCTACTGGCAGCAGCACAGGAATGCATCCATTCCTCAATGCTAGCTGTAGTTATAATATAGAGAAAGGGGCAATGGACTAAAATGAGCAGGCCGTGTATTATGCATTTTGTCACAAAATTGGAATGAATTTAAACTGAACCCCTCAGACTTGCAGACCCAAATTATAAAAAGGTTCTGTGGAAGAACACACAATCAGCTCTTAGCAGATAATTTTTTAGTGTGCCTTACTGTTAGAACAGGCTTCAGGAGAGATGAAAAATGTCATGTTTGGTTTCCATGCTTTACAATGTACTAAGGTATATTGCTATTATACCTCACAATGAACCCTTGCCCTACCTTATGTAATTCAATTTCATTAAAAGGTCTGTGGCAAATTTATCTAGTGCTTATATAATCACTTCTTTGAAGTATGTGAATGAAGCTGTTATTTTTTCAAAGAGTATCTGTCTGTCCAAAATTTATTTTAACACACTGTGGGCACGAAGCTAGATGAGAGAATGTATATATTCCCTTAAAAGTGTTTACTTAACCACAATAAAAGGTTATGTGGATTTCCCAAGTGCACTGAGTTACAGTACCTGTTATAATGTGAACATTTAAACACTCCTTCAACTTGGCTTCCACTCATGTATCATGTTTGACACAACAGTCAATGTTCTTTTGTCTAGTACTACCTCAGGAGGAATGGAAGGCTCTGCAGTAGCACATGAATGGGAAACACTAAAATAAAAATAAGGGGAGAAGGAAAAAAAAGGGAGAAAAAAATGTAGATGTAGGTAGGTCTACAGTAAAGTCTGTTTCAAAAGCGTGCCTTCACTGGCACATACAGCTGAAGCAATCCATGTTCACACTAGCCTGAAAGTAACTGTGTTCTGCAATTGGCAATGCAACTGTCTGGCATCTTCTGGGATGTGCATTGATTACCACAGGGAACCCTCTTTCCTAAAACATTTTTTCCAGCTGGATGCTGCCCTCAAAGTCAACGAAGCAAATTAAATTCTGGTTGGGGCACTTGTGTGTGGGCACAGATAGCAGCAGGATGGTTTTCATTCCTAAGCACCTTGGGGATGTTCCTGGGAGTGTAAGTTTCCTACTGACTCCTACAATAGGACAGGGCTGTTGCAAAACTCCAAACGAGGAGTTAAAAAGAAAAAAAAAAAAAGTCACATAACTATACAAGAAAAACATCTACTAAGGACTATGGTTGGATTGTGACTCTCTTAAGCAGACTTCAGAATATGGTCTAATGATTACGCAGATTTCTGTGGGAAGAGATAGGATCTTTTTTTGCACAGCAAAATATGTTTTATTATTAAGTATGTTTAATATTATAAAAGAATTTAGGACTATATTTAGACATCAAAGCCTCTGAACTTCGTGTTTCTTCTTTCCTGGCTAGAAGTTTTTGGAAGCATTTTATCCAGAGAAAACATCAGACACAGAAGTTCTGTGGAATTTAGGCTGTCTAAATATAGTCTTTTTCATATGAATTATTAAGTAGGAGTAGAGGACAATACTCTTCTCTTCTTTACATAAAGTAACATACACTTTTAATTACATTTTCATTTAATCTAGATGTAAACTGATGTTTGTCTATAAAAGCAGGACAGTAATTTAGCTTTTACACTGAAATATTGCAAAAATAAACCTGATCTAATTATAGGATCAAAGAGTTTGAAAAAACCAAACATTTTAAGGCATGCACTTCTCTCAAACATGTCTTAAAAAGGTTTTTTAATACAGCAAACATCGTACTAGAAGGAATAACATTTAAAAAAGAAGGAAGAAAAGAAAAAAAAAAGATTTGCTTTCCCTATCTATTGAATAACCCAACAGTTAGTACTATGTCATCTCAACTGGACATATTTTCCACCTCAGGCTATTACATTACACACTTGGTAATGCAGTCTGAGGGTGGTCTCTTAAAGATAAATGTGGCAATAACGTGATATGTTTATTCAGTGGAAAAATCTATTTCAGCATCTAATTAGAAGTCTTTAAAAGATTTACTCTGATAGTTCCTTTCTAAGATACGTTTTGCAGGGAGTTGCTTTTGTCTATATAGATGTTATCCAACACCTGCATTTTAGTTTATGTAAGGTTTCACAAATTACATTTTGTTTTTCTCCCACTTACCCTATGCTTATGGCATACATTTGGCAAATACTGAGTCTCTTTAATTAAGGAAGTGTTAAATGACTATCTGAAAGGCATGGTCCATTGCGGAAAGCTTTTAAAGATATTTCTCTCTCTTTGATTTCTGATTTAGTTGCTGTGTGCATAGCTGTAGCAATACAGGTAGGGTAGAATGGTTGATTTTTAGGCTCTGATCCAAGAATAAGCTATCAAAAACTTAAATTTGAGTTATGAAAGGTTTTACTTCCTCCCTTTTCTTGCTGATCAGATGATAATCTAGTTTACATTTGTCAACATATGTTGTGTTGTTGATATTCAGTAATGCTCATATGTTTTCATTTTCATGCTGTATGGTGGGCAAGGAAGGAGGTATTGCCTGCATGCTATCCATCCACATGGAATCGATAAACATGAAATAGTGGGCAGCATCTGGATGATATGAGATAGAAAATTCATGAATGTCAAACGTAGATAGAAGAAAATGACTTGCTGAACAAGAAATAGCTCCACAAGTCTTGAAATACATAATCTACTTTACATCTGATAAAGTTGACAACTGCATGATCAAACTGGACATGGACACAGGGGTTTCATGAGGTATCATGGAAGACAAATATTTAGCTAACTGCTCTGAATTTATATGGTGTAGAGACTGGAACAATTCTAAGGAAATAAAACAATCGTTCCCAATCATTCCCATGATACAGTAAGGATAAGCAATTAACTGTCCCAAAGAAAAAATAAAGCTTTTGCCCTCCATAAAAAAAGGAAACCCACAATGTTAGATTATGTCACCCAGCCAAGATGCCCTGCTACTTTGTGGAAATAAAGATCTCCCAGGTTGCCTACAGCAAACTACTCTGTCTGCTTTGATTCTTTTTTTTTATTTTGTTACTTTATCCTGCTAAATTCCTTTAAGTTTTGAGTTTAGTTATTGTCCTTTTTCAGATAATATAATGGTGAGAATAGCCAACAGCAATGATCTCGGCTGTATTTCTAACATATTCCTTTCTTGGAATCAAAATTCAAGGTCAAGAACACTCTTTAATTACTGTTTCTTTGTTAAGAAAACATACCCATAGAAAGCTGCAAGGTCAGACACAAGAGTAACTTACCTCTTGATTTCCTCCCATGAATATATGCCTTTCCAAGAAGCTGCCACGTTGGCCTGTACAAATCTTCCAAATCCAGTTGCCACCGATCTGGTTCAAGGTACCGGATAAGTTCTTCCACAGTACTAAATCCAGCGACGGCATTGTTTAATACATCTAATGGTAAAGCTGATGGGGGGAGCAATGATGGGCTAGGCGCTTCTGTGTGGTGCTGCAATCAAAGACAAGAGAAGAGTACCAGTCAGAGGGTTAATGGACCTGTTTTGATGAAGTGCTGTACTTTATGAAGTTACATAGCTGGGAAAGTTTATAAGTGGCTAGCTTGTTTCCAATGTACAGTTTACCTAATAAGACAAATGACAAGAGTCAAAAAGTACCTAATTATTCTTCAGCGATAATTGTAAACAAACTTCCACTAGACAGTTTTCCCCACTTCTTACACTCCTAACCTTGAAGATAGCATGCCACTATACCTGTTCTTTGAAGAAGTTAACTCAGTGACAGACAAAATTTTGTAAATAGAAGAGTGATTTGAAAATATGGCCCCATTACAGGCAATTACTGTAACCCTCTAGAAATCTGAGGAAATACACATTTCACATGCTGCCTTTCCTCTGAAACTTAGCCACAATCTTTGTCTTCTTGTCTTTCAATGTAAAAAATGAACATGCCCTAGTAGAGAGATAGCAAATATTCCCGTTCTCATCTATAGATGAAAAAAAAAGCATCAGTTGTGTTTCATAAAGTACTAAGAATTACGTTTCTGGTAAAACAATAATGAACAGAGTAATAACAACATCTGGCATTACTATAATTATTTGTCCCTTAAGAAGAAAAAAAAAAAAACATGTTCCCAAGGGTATCAAAAGTACTTAAATGCTGAAATTGAGTACTGAAAAAGTCTATGTACTTTCCCACAGCACAAATCTCACCGACAAACTCACTGGATCAGGGGTACTCAGTCACAGGCAATTCAAGCAAAGTGAGACTTCTGGTTTAGCTCACTCTACAATCTGTTTAAAAGTTATGCATTGATTCGTATTTTCAAAAGAATAAAAAAAGGCAGCAAAGGAAGCCTAAGCAGGAAGCTTCTGCTGCTGCCTCACCACAAGTTTCTTTAGGCTTTTATATAGGCAGACATCACTACAGACATTATGTCCAGGTTGCCCAGAGAGGCTGCACAGTACCCATCATTGGAGGCTTTCAGTACATGACTGGATGAAGCCCTGAGAAATGGTCTGACCTCAGAACTGACCCTACCCTGAGCAGGAGGTTAAACTAGAGACCTCCTGAGGTCCCTTGCTGAATTTTCTTACAACAATCCTACAATGCAGTATTAAGAATGGGTGACTGAATGTTCCTCCAATAGGTGCACTAACATGCTTCTTGCTCTTTCACTGTACTGTGCCTGTTAGTACTGCACAACATTTACACACACATATATTTATTTATTAATATGTATTTATATATATTTACATATATTTAAAAATCCTCATACCACTTAGTGTCAAAATGGCACTCTCAGTACTCTATTGTGAAGTGTATAGATACTGTACTTTTTCCTATCTATAATGTCAGATCAAAAGTATTAATTTACCCTTTCAAAATTATCAGAGAGCTTGATGAGAAATGTAACAGTTATGCAGGAAAGAATTCTTTAATAAAATAATGCTTGCAACACTACATACGAAAGAGCAGTTTTCTAAAATACATATGCCTGTGACAGCTGTATTTCATACCAATAATTATATTTTCCTTTCTGTGCTCTCAATTTTATTAAATACGCATTTTTGGTTTCAGCTAAATGTGTGGTTGAAAGGGCAGCAAATGGAAGTAACCACCATGCCCTTCCTATTTTTTGCTTCAAGGGTTTTTCTCTCTCCATCTTAAAGAAATGCAGTCACTAGAACGATTTGTGCTGCTTTTTAACTGAGAGTTTTGCAAAGATAATACAAAACGTAGGCCTAGTGTGCCGCTACTATTAGCTTTATCATATTTTCATTTTGCTAATCTAGCATCATTTCCAATAGAGTGAGCGAAGTAGTTGCTTCCCTTTCTGGATGAATGTGGATTTCACAAAGTTAAAATATTTCTTTTCCTCTTCTCTCCACTGCCCACATTAAAAATAATAACATGTTGATCCATCTATTAGGTTATGATAATAAAGCAACAGATTCTGGTGTATAATTTAAATATTTGCTCTTAGCAAAACATGCTACTCAGCAAGTTTCAAAATAGCGCTGTGACGCTGTAATTCAGATGGTAAAAAAAAAAAAAATAATCAAAATTTTCCTTCCTGTTTTTCTCCAGGATGCTGTATTTGTAGCAGTCACATTTCCCGGTTTGAAGGTGTAGGATTTTGCTAAGGGGAAAAACAAAATAAGGATCAAATGGTAGAACTAGCACCTGAAGAAGAAAAAAAAAGAAAAAAAAAAAATCTATTTTGTTTCCAGCTGAAGAATTTGCTTCGGTGTCTCACTTCTACTGGGATTTTTTGTTGCCAATTAAATAGATGGATTCCAGATGAAAATCCATTGGTCTAGAATCTATTTCCACATTTACAACTTCGAACACGCATACTTAGCAATACATGTATAGGAACTAACCCATCGATTTATGTTATTCTGTATTAAGCAGGAATTTGCCTGAGTTAAAATGTTATGAGGATATGGTGAATCATTGTGCTTAATGGTAACACAATTAAAGTTGTCATCACTTTCTAATCATCCTCACAGCAACCCAAAACATAAAGAAAAAGTAATTGAAACAGCAAAATTGCACAACTTCGAAGAACATTTTAGAATAAAGTAGTTAAAATCTCAAGATTAAGAATGTTTTTCCCAATAATCTCCTAATTTAGTCAACCTAAATGACAGTTAATACGTACCAAAAATTAAAGATAATTGATATCATAAAGCTATAAATGCTGTAATTTATATTTATAAACATAATAACCTTTATGAAATCTCAATTCAATAAATTGTTTAATATAAATGGTAATCCAAATTATACTCTACAGGGTTCTCTACATGGTTTTAACTTGCTAATAGGTACTACTTACTTTGTAATTTAAACTTTTTGGACAGAACGTCCAGGGCAGCATAAATATTACATAGTACACACTATAATTATATCTTGGAATTTTATAGAATTTATAATTTCACTCTGTGTTCTCAAAGGATTTTTAGTGTTTCTTAGGCAATATTTACACCTGCAGTAAGGTTTTACTCTCAGAGAAGATAACAGAAGAAATGACAATGCAAGAAATTGTGTCAACTTCATTGATGAGACATACTTTTTAGAACAAGCAAATACAAAACTTCAGCATAACTCCGACATACAACATCATAGCTGCAACTTCAAAATGCTGAAATGCTCCTTAAGTGGAGCTTTCCCTCACTTCATAGCAAGTCTATCACTTCTATTATAATTCCTTCCAATTAAATAATCTCAGGTAAAAATCTATGTGCCTAGAATTTAACCTACATCTCTCTTGAGATTCCTACTCTGACCCTTACCTCCACCTGCATGCCTGACACAAACTGACGCTGTCAAGCCGCTCTCTGTGCAGTGCTACTGATGTCAGTACTCAGTAGGTCTCAGAGATGCAATTTCACTGCAGAATGGTGATGTGAAAGCCTCACAGGAGGACCATCAATAAGCTCTGGCTGTTTTGCTGCACAATGGAGACAATGCATTGATGGAGACAATGAAGATGGTTTTACAATGAAGTAGCTATCTGTGAACTCTACATCTGTTCTATAGCTGGCATCACCTAACTCACTCCACAGAACTATGCCATGTCTCCCCTAACAGGTCAGCTAGCACATAATCAACCTTCGATACAGCAGACATCTCTTCATCTGGCAGGGGAGACATAACCTGACAGCAGACACTTGCTTAGGTATAGCAGCTATCCAAAATAGCTTTCCTGATGGGGACCACTTACTGGGAAGTGATGTTCTCCAAGCTTTTCTATAATAAATACTAATTAACGGTAAACACTTTTTCTGTCATAGTAACATATCCTTGATTAATACCAATGTTTTAGGCCTGAGACCACCTTTTTTATTTGTTTGCCTGAGCATGAATAATTTCTGTCAAGACAGATTTGAAAAATACATCAACAAGTTCTGTATTTTAATGTGATTCCTCTAGTAAACAAAAAACTGTCTGGTTTTTGGGTTTGTGCCTGGTAAACAATTTCAATTTACTTTAATAAGAATAAACATGTTTAAAACCAAGATAGAGCCAAACAGTTGCATTTTTACTGTTAGTTAAAATGATTCAGGATGAAAAACAGAGCAGAAAACATAGGGCTTCTGCTGCCCTGTAGAACAGCCAAGAATGACAATTAGTGTTGGATCAAACAGAATTTTCATTAGGTCTGTTTATATTGTATTCCTGTATGTGTACTTCACTCTATCAAAACAAATACCTTATAGAAATCCTTTAAGGTGTTTACAAGTGCAAAAGGCAAATAGAGCAAATTTAGGCAACAGTTTAAGATAAAGGTTTGGGAAAAAAGGAAGGAAATAATACAAAGGCTGACTTCAAAAACTATCCAGCCCTGAAGATTATATATAACAACAGTACCCATGAAGAAACTTTGGGAGTAAAATGCATTTTAGGGTGCTCACAATGTTAGTTGTGCCCTATTGAAGGAATCAAAGCTACTCCATCTAGCCTCTGTCTCAAAGGGGAAAGGGTAGTACACTTACAAGTAGAATAAGAAAGCAAAACAGTAAATCTGAAAAAAACCTGCAACAAATGAATTTGAAATTACCTAGTTGAAGCTCAAACCTAAAGGATGATTTAGCATGTAGCCTGACCTGAAGACTTGTGATTAATTTCTTGTTCTGAGACATATTTCCCATGTGATCCTAGCATAGTATTTAGGCCACAGCTTCATGGTGTAAAGCATCTGGCAGTAGCATCTCCTTCCTCCGTCAGCATGACTGTGTATGTGGCTGCATCATAAACAAGAAGTAATCTTTCTGAAAAAGCATATTTCTCATTTTCTTTTTTTTATAACCGCAGTCTTATTCACAGCACAGATACCCAACAGCTAAGCCATCACAACCGAAAGCACAGCGGCCACTAACACAAACATTTTGAGATTCACTCTGGCACCAGGAGTTTCATAGCACACAAGTTTGTAACACAGCCTTAGCAAATCTGTAAAATGAGCATAAAGGTAAGAGAATGAAT